GATAAAAAGGGCCACAAATTTGATTAACAAGTAAATGTAGTTCAAAATGTACAGTTGGCAAGCAACTAATTTTGAACAAAATGTAATGATGAAAACTGATTTACCAAAAAAGACAACATCATTGTAAAAGTTCTTGGCTTTGCTGTGGGTCCGTATAAGAGCCAATCATATTATCTTCATTGTACTTCTATTGAAATTTTTTTTATTTCTTTGAGAGACAGACCTCCCATCCGCTGGTTCTCCCCCTCAAATGCCTGCAGTGGCCAGGGGACCAAAGCTGGAATCCAGGAACTCAGTCCAGGTCTCCCATATGGAAGACTGTTTGAGCCATCACCTCTGCCTCCCAGGGTTTGCATTAGCAGGAAACTGGAATCAGGAACCCAACTAGGAGTTGGAACCAGGCACTCCGATATTGGATGTGGGGCTCCTGACCTCTAGGCTAAACGCCGGCTCCATTTTTTGTTTTTCTAAATGACTTGACTTTGACAATCACAGAAGGTGTTTCTTATTCAGTGGAATATTCTTTCAGAAGATTAGAAAAATCAAACCATAATTGGACTTCATAGATTTTCTGTTTGAAGTATTTGAAGTCACTGGTGTTCTTCAGCTGTTTGCAACGTTTTTCTGTCATTGAAACCAGCATGTAAACAGCTTTGCTTTCTGTATGTGCACACAAATATGGGTGAAATTAATTGGGAAGAGTCATTTTATTTAGATGCAGAGTTGTATTCTGCCTAGTGATGTGTTAAATGTACCATTTGCAGCTGCATGTGTCAGGTTGTGTTGGAAATGGTGATGCTTCTTCAGCAGAATTGATTGGTTTTGGTGTTCATGTGAATGACGATATCCTGGTCCCCACTGAGACTAGTAAATGCCTGCATTTTATGCACATTACATGCATCATCCGCATACTTGGAAGTGAATTTGATTCTTAATTTCTCATTAATTATGAACTTCAAACGTTTTGCTGTAGAAAGATGTTACCAAACTAAAATAAATAAAAGTCATGTAGCTTTGGGTGATACAGTTAAGACAAAGTCACTGCAACAGGAGTGGTCATCTGTAAATCTGTGAGCAAACTGTTAAGCCTTCATTTCCCCATGTGTTTCACATACATCCAACCATGGTTGTTTTTGTTTGTTTGTTTTTTAACAGGTAGAGTTATAGACAGAGAGAAAGGTCTTCCTTCCGTTGGTTCACTCCCCAAATGGCCACTACGGCTGGTGCTGTGCCAGTCCGAAGCCAGGAGCTAGGTGCTTCCTCCTGGTGTCCCATGCAGGTGCAGGGGCCCAAGCACTCAGGCCATCCTCCACTGCCTTCCCGGGCCACAGCAGAGAGCTGGACTGGAAGAGGAGCAACTGGGACTAGAACCAGCACCCACATGGGATGCCGGCGCTGCAGGCAGAGGGTTAACCAAATGAGCCATGGCGCCGGCCCCTCTGACCATGTTTTATGAGGACCCAACCTGGCTACTTTGTGCAGGTTGTGATATAGACCGTGGAATAAGATACTAGGATGACAAGTGTTGGAAACATCTCCCACCCTCACCTAAGGCTGGGTAGAGTTTGTTGTCCTTAGCCATTTGAGCCCACTTCATGGTTGAGTGGCCTTTATGCTGTCCTGCAGAGAAAGGTGTTACTTGTGTTGCAACAGGAAAGGTTCAGGATCACACTGGTAGTCACCATTTGTCTATCCCATTTGTTGAAGTACAAACTCTGTTCACTGCACATATATCTCACACATTAGTAGAAAAAACAGAAGTTGGAACTAGAAAGTAGAGGGCTCCATCTCTCCTGGCTTATTTTACGGTAATAGTGCTTTTTAATCTATTAATGAAAGAAAAACCCATCCATAACTATTGCCAGACTGCATATTCTGGCTAATTACCTTCCTTAAGGAATTAGATCACATCTCACGTTATATGGTGTCATGTCATCCTCTGCAGCACTTAGTCACAGCTGAATTTTACATTGATTTGTTAATTTTATTTTGTCTACCTGTCCTGCTAGACCAGAGGCTCCATTAGGAAAAGCACTATTTCTTCCCTCGTATTGTATTGGTGGCACCTAGCTTACTAAGGGCCAGATACGTATTTACGGGATAAAGTGAGAGGGTGGGCATTTTTGCACAGTGAATTAAGCTGCTGCTCGTGATGCCTACATCCCATGTTGGAGTTGCTATTTCAAGTCCTGGCGTCTCCACTTCCAATCCAGCTTCCTGCTAATGCATCCTGGGTGGCAGCAAATGATGGCTCCACTGCTTGGGCCCCTGCTACCCACATAAGAGACCCAGATGGAGTTCTTCGCTGCAACAGCCCTGGCCATTGAGGGAGTTTGTGGTGTAAACCATCAGATGGAAGGTCTCTCTCTCTCTGTGTCTCTTTCACTCTGCCTTTCAAATAAATGAAAGTATATATTTTTAAAAACAGAGTGAATGTACGCATGGGACAGAAGGGGCATCAGCAGATATGTCCCGTTGATACCTAACTAAATAATAGAAAGCCCTTGGGAATTGAGAAGCGCATTCTTTTGCAGGTATCTCTGGTTTGTATAATTCTGAGAATACAGTAGGTATGTGTAATTGTTTAGTCAACTATGAATTTTATATATACCTATAAATAACAGCTAGTACTTAATGCTCTCAGGTAGTGTGCTTAAGCATTTTTAAATGCATTATTTAATCATTACAACAATCTTATGAAGTGTTACTATTCCCATTTTACATGTGAATTTACTGAGGCTTAGAAAAATGAAATAATTTGCTCTGGGTCCTAAGGCTGGTAAGTGCTTCATCACAATGGGAATTTTGTCATACCTTTCAATTCTAAGTTACAGACATTGCATCAGTGAAAATTATAAGCATTATAAAATCCTACTAACTGAGAAAGGATTTATAACAGGCATTGCATCATTTCCCACACAGAAAGGATGGTGAGCTGTCTAAGGCTCAGTGAGTGACTTGGACTTCTGTTGGCTAGAACTGAATTATACGGTCACCTCGTGCTTCAGTGAATCTAGGAAAGTGAATATTGATAACTTCTTGCATTGGTTTGGGTCTTTCAGTTTTTTCAAGTGTACAATCAGAAAACCTGGCACATGTCAGAAGTGCTGGAGACATAGAGCTTTTATAATTTGCAGGCACCGTCATCAGAATGAGCCATCCTAGAAGATGTGCTCTGATGGCTTTGTGGTTGGGGATGGTTGACCCATGGAAGCAGAAAGAGACTGTAGGAGAATTGCAGTAATCTAGGTACGAGCTCTTAGAGGTCTAAACTGAGAAAATGTGTATAGGAATGAACAGGGAGAATAACTCAAAAAACAGAAGGACAGATGGAGATTTGTTGCCTGTGGAGATGATCAAAGAGGGACAAGTCAAAGGTGGCTCAGGGTTGTAGTAAAATGAATTAATGAGGCCATCAGCAGAGACTTAAGAGTAAGGGAAGGGAGGTGTTTTGTGTTTGACGTAGCAGTTAAGACACCTCTTGGGATGCTAGCATCGAAGTGCCTGGATTCAGGTTACATTTCTGCTCCTAGTTCTAGCTACCTGCTAAGTGTGTACGCTGGGAGGCAAAAAGAGATGATTCAATTGGTTGGATCCCTGCCATCATACAGGAGGCTTTGAATTGAATTACAAATTGAATTCCAGAATCCTGGCTTCTGCCTGGCCCAGCCCCATCTATATTGTACATGCATTTGGGGGGAGTGAAACAGTGGTTATATCTTTCTCTGTCTCTTGTCTTTCTACTTTTAAAATAAATTATGTGAAAGGCAGAGTTAGAGATAACTAGATTTAGAGAGAGAGAGAATCTTCCATGCATGGGTTCACTCCTCAAATGGTCACAACGGCCGGAGCTGGGCCTATCTGAAGCCAGAAGTTTCTTTCAGGCTTCCCATTTGGGTACGGGGACCCAAGCACTTGGGCCATTTGCTGCTTTCCCAGGCACATTAGCAGGGAGCTGAATCAGAAATGGAATAACCAGAACTTCAACCGATGCCCGTATGGGATACCAGTGCTGCAGGGAGCAGCTTTATCTGCTTCGCCACACTGCCGTCCTCTAAAATAAAATTAAAAAAAAAAAAAAAAAGAATAAAGGAGAAAATTCAAATTGATGGTCTTTTTAGACATACTGAGCCTGAGGTATGTAGGTTTTCTTCATGAGCAGATCTTTGGTCATGAATTGGGAAAGGATTATGATATATTTGTTATACCCGCGTGTTACAGGGGTTTTTTCTTGATAATATTTTATCGCGTTTTTGTTTGTCTGAAAGTTCCTAACACTTGTATAGCCAGTTCTGTTGGTTTTACCTTTACAGTTTGTGCTTTAGTGTCAGAGAGAGCCTTCATTATCCCTGAGTGATAGAAATATTTATCAGATTTTTTTTTATTCTATGACTTAAATGTTGAATTAATCAAACCTTTATTTTGGTAGAGAATGAAGTAAGGAAAAAAAGAGCGTTTTCAATTGTTAGAATGAGATTGGACATTATTACTAAGGTGTATTATGAAACTTGAAAGTGCCCCGTACATGAGGCTGACACCGTGGCTCACTTGGATAATCCTCTGCCTGTGGCGCCAGCATCCCATATGGGTGCCGGATTCTGTCCTGGTTGCTCCTCTTCCAATCCAGCTCTCTGCTGTGGCCCGGGAAGGCAGTGGAGGATGGCCCAAGTGCTTGGGCCCTGCACCTGCATGGGAGACCAGGAGGAAGCACCTGGCTCCTGGTTTCGGATCAGCGCAGTGCTGGCCGTAGTTGCCGTTTGGGAAGTGAACCCAACGGACGGAAGACTTCTCTCTCTCTCTCACTAACTCTGTCAAGTAAAAAAAAAAAAAAAGAACACTATACTGAATCTTCTATAAAAGTACTTCTAAGGTTAATTTTTCTGGTGTTGATATTTGGAGAAATTCTCTGCTGTTACTTCCTTCTAAAAAGAAAGCATCACTGATTTTTAAATTTTTATTATAAACCTGAGTTAAAATAGATACTTCCTGTATTTTGACAGCAGGAGGATGCATTAGCACAACAGGCCTTTGAGGAAGCTCGGAGAAGGACACGTGAGTTTGAAGACAGAGACAGGTCTCATCGGGAGGAAATGGAGGTGAGAGTTTCACAGCTGCTGGCAGTAACTGGTTAGTACTTTCCCCAAAACTCTCAGGCTCTGTTTGTGATGTTTGTGTATAATGTTTTTTAAATAGTTTAATTTTTGTGTTTAATTTTTTAAAAAACAGTACTTACTTTCTGTATTTTATAAAATGTAATTGCTATAAATGGATTTAGTCTTTATTTTAAGGTTTGTACATGAATTCTTCATTTGATGGTCTTAATAAATCATTTACTATAACATGATATATTTTCTCTTAGTTCAGATTTCCAAATATCTTACCTCTTTTTCTTAATTATTTTTGAGGTTATTTGTAAAAGTTACTTTATTTATTATAGAAAACACTTTTAGAATGTTATTAAAACTCTTCAGGAATAATATTTTTCATTTTTAATGAATATGTGTCTTGATTTTTTGTAACAGTATAATCTTCAGTCACTGTAATCTCTTTACTAGAGGAAAATATTTTCACAGAGAATACACAGAGAATGGAATTAACAGATTGTTTTCATTTAACCTTTTTTGGGTAACTTCATAATAAAGTAAAATACTGATGCAGAAGTACACACTAATTATTAATAATTATTATAAGGCTAACACCCCTATAATACAGGTCCAAAAATACAACTTTGGGGCTGACACTGTGGCATAGAAAGGTTAAGCCTCCACCTGCAGTGCCAGCATCCCCTATGGGCACTGGTTCAAGTCCTGGCTGCTCTACTTCCAGTCCACCTTCCTGTTAACGTGCCTGGGAAAGCAGCAGCAGATGTCCTAAGTGCTTGGGCCCATGCACCCACGTGAGAGACCTAGAAGAAGCTCCTGGCTCATGGCTTCCGCCTGGCTCAGCCCTGGCCATTTTGGTCATTTGGAAAGTAAACCAACAGATGGGAGATAATTCTCTCTCTCCTTCTCTCTGTGTATCTATGCCTTTCAAATAAATGAATGCATCTTTTTTTTTTTGACAGGCAGAGTGGACAGTGAGAGAGAGAGACAGAGAGAAAGGTCTTCCTTTTGCCGTTGGTTCACCCTCCAATGGCCGCCGCGGCCGGTGCGCTGCGGCCGGCGCACCGCGCTGATCCGATGGCAGGAGCCAGGAGCCAGGTGCTTTTCCTGGTCTCCCATGCGGGTGCAGGGCCCAAGCACTTGGGCCATCCTCCACTGCACTCCCTGGCCACAGCAGAGGGCTAGCCTGGAAGAGGGGCAACCGGGACAGAATCCGGCGCCCCGACCGGGACTAGAACCCGGTGTGCCGGCGCCGCTAGGCGGAGGATTAGCCTATTGAGCCACGGCGCCAGCCTGAATGAATCTTTTAAAATAAAGTAAAACTCTGACAGCCACCCCAGCATTCCCCCACCCTGTGTGTATGTAATCATGACCTCAAATTGCTCAAATAATCCTCCTGGTTTTTAATTATTTTTTATTTATTTAAAAGTTGGGGTTTCTCATCCTTTGGTTTACTCCCCAATACTTGGAACAACCAGGGTTGGAGCCAGAAACTCAGTCCAAGTCTCCTAGGTGTGAGGCAGGAACCCAGTTACTTGAGCCATCACTGCTGCCTCCCAGGATCTGCATTGACAGTAGCCAGGGTCACAATTGGACCCAGGCTCTCTGATGTGAGACATGAGCATGTTACCACAAGGCTAAACTCCTACTCCTATCCCAATTTTTAAAGTGATCACTTCTTTGCGTTTCTTTATAGTTTTTTGACCCCTGAATTCAGACTTAGACTATGAGAAGATGGTCTTGCTTGATTTTTAAATTTGCCATCTTTTAATGAATGTGGATGTTTGATTTTTTTCTACATAAAATTGTATCTTGCTTTAAGCAGATCTTAAATATAAAATTAAATTAAATATAAAAATTAATGTTAAAATTAATATTTAATATAGAGTATTCAGAAATAAAAATTCTTTAAAAGCTATACTTTGTATAGGCATGGTGATGCAGCAGGTTAAGCCACCACTTATGACACGTGCATCCCATGTCAGAGGGCCTAGGTTCAAGTCTTGCCTGCACTTCTTTTTTTTTTTAATAAATATAAATTTCATAGGCACAGCTTTTGGAATATAGCAATTCTTCCCCCCATACCCACCCTCCCACCTCCCCACTCCCAAACCATCCCACCTCCTACTCCCTCTCCCATCCCATTCTTCATTAAGATTCATTTTTAATTATCTTTATATACAGAAGATCAGTTCTATACTAAGTAAAGATTTCAACACTTTGCACCCACACAGACACACAAAGTATAAAGTACTGTTTGAAGACAAGTTTACCGTTAATTCTCATAGTATAACTCATTAAGGACAGAGATCCTACATGGGGAGCAAGTGCACAGTGACTCCTGTTATTGATTTAACAATTGACAGTCTTATTTATGGCATCAGTAATCACCTGAGGCTCTTGTCATGAGCTGATAAGGCTATGTAAGTATTTTGAGTCCATAAACTCTGATGTTATTTAGACAAGGCCATAATCAAAATGGAAGTTCTCTCCTCCTTTCAAAGAAAGGTACCTCCTTCTTTGATGGTCCCTTCTTTCCACTAGGATCTCACTCACAGAGTTCTTTCATGTAGGCTTGCCTGCACTTCTGATCCAGCTTTCTGCTAATACGCCTGAGAAGGCAGCAGATGATGGTCATTGGGTCCCTGCCACCCACATAGGCCAGATTGATTTCCAAACTTCTGGCTTCAGGCATTTGAAGAGTGAACCAGTGGACAGAAGGTCTCCTGTCTCCCTCTCTGTCTCTCTGCCTTTCATATAAATAAATATCTTCTAAAAAAAAAAAAAAAAACCCTAATATGTCTAAAAAAGAATGCTATTAAACACTAATGTCTATCATGTACTTCAAATTTATAATATGAACATTTCCCATGAGAAAAAATAAAACATAGTCATGTTTCATAATCAAAAAGCATTAAATTATAGTTATAGTATATCAACTAAATAGAATAATTTCCAACATTGATTCAATGTTATGTCCATAAGGTAGATTCATACAGACAGAAAGTAGAATGGAGTTGTCAGGGGAGATGAAGAGTTCAGTGAGTATAGAGTTTCAGTTTTGCAAGATAAAAAGTTCTAGAGATAAGTTGAATAATGTGAATGTACTTAACACTGCTGAACTGCATACTTAAAAATAGTTGAGATGGTAAGCTTTATGCTGTATATATTTATTTGTGCACTGTTAATTAAGTGTGTGTATGTACAAAGATGTTACTTAAAGAGCCCAGACTCTAGAGCCAGACTGAGAGTTCTGAGTCTGACTCAGCCACTCAGTTCGTTGCCTTAGACAACTTGCTGCATCTTTCTGTGGCTACATTCCCTCATCCATAAAATAAGGGTAATGATTGTGTCTGTCTCATAAGGGTCATTTTCAAAATTAAATGTCTGCACATGGGAATACTTCTATAGTATGTGGTGCGGACTTGGTGTCAGCCACTAATGTGGTCATTTCCAATTTATATATTTGTTGTGTGTTAAGTATATTTAAAGAAGGAATTTAGAAGTCAAACCTATTCAGTGGTCAGTGTATGAGTTAAAATTCAGTCTCTTTAATAGATCTCTTTGTGAATGAGTTAATTTTTTTTTTAATTTATTTTTATTTTTATTTTTTTTGACAGGCAGAGTGGACAGTGAGAGAGAGAGACAGAGAGAAAGGTCTTCCTTTGCCGTTGGTTCACCCTCTAATGGCCGCCGCGGCCGGCACACCGCGCTGATCCGATGGCAGGAGCCAGGTACTTATCCTGGTCTCCCATGGGGTGCAGGGCCCAAGCACTTGGGCCATCCTCCACTGCACTCCCTGGCCACAGCAGAGAGCTGGCCTGGAAGAGGGGCAGCCGGGACAGAATCCGGCGCCCCGACTGGGACTAGAACCCAGTGTGCCAGTGCCGCTAGGCGGAGGATTAGCCTATTGAGCCACGGCGCCGGCCTGAATGAGTTAATTTATCTGATGGGCTGATAGTAACTGAGGATGTTCCCAAAAACACTTTTTAGCTTGGAGAATACAGGAGGGATGTGTATGACATGTTTGTTTTCTGTGAAGCTTCTGTAATTCTTGAGATAGAACTCCTACACCATTGTCTTTTCTGTGTCTATAAAATGTATAGGTTTCTGTGTATAATATGCATGTGTTAGCTTACACTTCGGAATCTTAATTCAGGCTGTTTGTTTCCTAACGTACAGTGTGCTTTTTTAGTCATTCATCAAGGCCTAGTTTTAATGTTAACTGTCAAGCCATTCTCTAATCTATCTCAATCACAACCCTTCTACTGTGTAGTTTCCATAGCAGTTCTTATTGGACAGTGTGTTGAAATGATTATGTCTTTCACTTTATTGAGATTTCCTTAAGAATGTTTTTATATCCCTTAGATTATTCACCACAGTGTTTAGTTTAGTACATTGCGCTTAGTTGTCAAATGGAAATCGTCAGAAAACAACTCCCACTCTGCCTGTCTGAAATACAGACTTAATAGGATAGCCAGTAGGAAAAAGTAGATAATGCATACTAATGTGCGGCGTCTGTCTTTGGGCATCTGTCAGTCTTGAAAGAAAATGAATACATAAACAGGTAAATGCAATGTCCTTTAGCAGCCACCATACCTAATCATGGGGGCTCAAAACAAGGCAGTGACCATGTAGAGGAAGGGGCACTTAAGTCAGCCTCTGCGAGGGAGTTCCCAGGAGAGTACACTTGAAGGAACTTGAAGGTAGAGTGAGTATGCCTGCTGAACAAATTGGGGGAAACATTGTGGGCAGAAGGAACATTGTATTGTATGCAAAGGAATGGAGAAGGGAGCTTGCCAAGTTGAAGAACATGTTTGGTCGATCTCTGGAGCAGGTTAACATGGCCTTAAAATATAAGGATTGTTTCCTAAAAAGCACTCTTCAGGGCAGGCATTGTAGTGCATCAGGTGGAGCCATTGCTTGTGATGATCACTTTCCATGTTGGGGTTCATGGTATCAAATTCAGCCTCTGCTTCAGACCCAGCCTGCAA